AATCTGTTCTCGGACTCATAATTTGAATATAAGGCGTTAATTGGTGTCATAACTTACGAAACGCATCATATTTTAACAATTTCAACGTGCTATCGTTTTCGAGGCCTGCAATAAAATCACGATAGACTGACTTGTAACTTGTTTCAGCTGGCAAAAGTGTAAGCGATTGAGTAATGCGGTTGACGTTTCTACCAGGACTTGGTAATCCATGTGTCTCAGCGTAATTCTCGAGAAAATTCTTTACAGCGGTAGCGACGGTTATATCAATGGTTATTTTGGTTTTCCATCGCGGCACTTTTTTTACATTACCATGAACGCGCGATATTATACCGTTCGTCATCAAGTGATTTCTAACGTTTTCGAAGTGAGTACGACCGATTCCTAACATATTGAGATACGTTTTCTGACAGAGGGGCGTATTACGATCTCAATAGTAAAACGTTCTTTTATTAGTACGCGTTTTCTTTTTAAGACGTCGACTGGCAGTTATTTCTCCACCATTCATTGCTTTCAGCTGAGCCATTAAAAATATATCTTGTTCGGATCTAGAGAGTGCTTGAAACGCTTCACGTAATTCGGCAAATTTCTCTCTCAGAATTTTTTTTTGAACAGCCACATTTGCAACCTATCTCTAAGAAATGCATGGCCTTCTCATATTCAGTCGAACCATTATAATTATAATTTTCTATATACGGGTAATCTTATATATAAATTTTAGCAATTTTTTCAAAATTTATATTTGTCTTCATATTGTTTATATTCTGCTCAAAATTTATTTACACTTCTCCTCCCAGTTTACTTTTACATTTTTTATTTTAACTAATAAGAAAAATATTATGCATTCTGACTAAATTGGAGTCTAAAACTACTACTACTTGAATAACCATTAATTATTATTGCTGTAACATAAAAAGAAAAAATCTAGTAATCAATGATTATCCCAACTTGCAGCACTGCTCACCAAGGGAGTGACAATTAACTATTTTTTTTGTACGCATGCTGAAAGAATCTAATGTCTATTACTTTGTTATATTTTTGAAAATTTGATGATGTTACTATTTTGTTCTTTTTTCTATTATCATTTTTATTGCAATTCTCCTGTTTTTATCCACACGCTACAGACCTCAACTCTTGGAAAGGTTGTTAAGCTCTCTATTCAGCATATGTAAGTCATGTTCCGGCCGGATTTCTGCACCAAACTTTACCTCTGGATGCCAACTGATTTCATGATTCATAAGGGGTGGGTAGATGGCTTCCCCAATCTTGCCAGCCCAGTCAAAGTCTACTAATTTTACTGAACTCTCAAAACCCACAGAATGTTTGGGAGCCTCAGATTCCCATGCACAAAGCCAAGGTCATGCATCTTTTCTACCATTGTCTTCACTTGCTTCAATGTTCTGTATGAGAGATGATATTCTTCAGCAAGAGAGTATGCTGTGCAGTATTCCATCAGCAGCTCCATGACTACAATATACCATCCACCAGCAACCTGCTCACAGGCAAACAGTTCTGGGGCAAATCCCATATTATGGCATGTGTCATGACACTCCCTTAAGTAAATTTAACAATGACATTGCGAGATAATGATGTAGTCTATGAGCATGACAAGGGGTAAATTATTTGAACCAAGAAATTACAGCTACACAAATCCAATTACCCCTATGAAGATGCTCAACAATATCATTAATCTTGCTTTTAACCTCAACAGACAGAATGCTGTGAGGACATTGATCACAGGTGGAATATACATTCAGATCTATGACATCCATGACTACCATTAACCACCCACCAGGAATACATTCACAACTATGAAGATGAGGTGCATACCTTGTTTGGCACAATATTCATGAGCATCTGCTGAATATTGGTGCACAAATTTGATGCAAATGTCTTTACCCATCTCATTTTTACCAAAGAAAATCAGTTTCTCCTTTATAAGTTGTGAGCTAGAGCCATATTTGAAATAAATAACAGCATCTCCATCCCTGCAATCACATTTATATGAAAACTTTGGATTTCGTTGAGTTTGCAGTAATTGAATAGGCAGTTCACTCTCGTAATATGTTTTCAGATTCAAAATAGCCTTCTTAAAGGCAGCAGCGAGTTGAGTTTGTTACTTCTTCAATTGTTCAACCTCACTTTCAAGTCTTTGAATTTTTGTCTAATAATTCTTGTTTTTGCTTATAATGCCAATCCTTGAAACTTCTAAGGCTTCCAAGTGGGAACTAATTTCTTCCTTAGCCGAGTTAGTTGTTGCTTTAAGTCTTTATTTTGCTGTTCCAATCTACTGACATAACTCTGTGCCATTATTTCTGTTATTGTCAGAGTTTTGACTGATTCGTATTTCCTTAATTGCAGAAGCAGTCTACTCTATTTCTCATAATTCGACCACAATCATTACAGTGTGGCAGAGTATCATCATCAAGAGCTTAACACAAATATAAGCAATGTCACGGTAATGTTACGGTCGATAGGGAGAAAAGCGTAAAATCTTTACGTAGGTGTGTTCGAACCGACCGGGGGGCGTTATCAGGTTTAGCTCGTACGCTGTCTACTACAACGATTGCTCACTTAAACTGACAAGTGACAATAATTATTATGTGCTGCACGCTTCGCTTTTACTCTATACGATGTATTTCTAATTCTAAACAGGGCGAACTTTGATTTAGTGTTTAGACTAGTCGGGAAATGTCACTTTTCCTAATTTAAACAACAAATAATTAATTATCTATCGTTCGAGATTCTTGTGCTTTACCGCAACTACGGGTCGTTACCAATCTATTACGCTGACTACTATCGTTTAATATAGCTACGGGTCATTACCGATTTACTGCCGACAAAGAGCTAATTTTCGCAACGATAAAAATAGAAATTAAAGGAGTTTCGTAATAATTAAAGGATAATGGTTAGATCGATCGTTTATTATATCCGACCTCAGTATCGAATATTATTTATTTTTCAACACAACATTAACATGAACACAAACATGAGGATTTTAGACGGTCGGGAAGGGGTCCTTATATACGTTTTTCTGTCGTTATTTTTATAACGCCTACTTTTCTAAGTTTAGTGCTATACTAAATGATCGTCAGGGGTATTGATTTTACCATGTGACTTGCTTATCGATCGCTCGCCGTAACAATAGATGATACCAAAAGCTTTACTATTACATACATTTATTCTGGTCAACCTGGAAGTGTGCACGATGCTCGTGCTTTCAAACAGTCAGATTTCTGGGAAGAGGTCATGGAGGTAAGATTTTATAAATCTAACATTATATTATTATGTATTAGTACACAATTCTGTGTATTCATTTTGCCTCAGATTTCAGAATGTTTATGTTAGGAAACAGTCTTCTGATAATATGCATCTTCTTGGAGATTCTGCATTTCCACTCATGCCTTGGTTATTGGTGTCATTAAAGAAAGCGGGGAGACACATGCTCAGAAACGTTATAATAAAGCACATTCCTCCGCTTATACACTCACTGGACAAAAGTCTACGTAATTTTTGTCGATCACATAGTAAAACATATGAAAAATCTATTTTTTC